GTCACTTAACTCCTGGAAATCCCAAAATAAAGTAATGTTTTTTATAAAAGTTTATATTTCATGGTCAAAAATTGTTCAGTTCTCTTCCCCCGGTACTGCCTGATCAAAAAATTTGCCCTCAGAACTTGGTAAAAGCCTAGAAGTTCTAAAGTTAATTTCTCTAAAAGTAGGTATGATTCAATAAAAACTCATACTCCTTTAATTTGCCAATAAGGTGGGGAGGTTAATATAAATCCAACATAAATCCTACGTGAAAATCATTGATAGTGGTTATCTTGAAAATTGTGAACAAACATGACCCCCTCACCGTTATATACAAATGCTACCAATGCCTACCACCCAGGAACTACTTGGGTCTTCACACCAAGTACTTCTAGCGTATACGTTCAACAATGCTTTCACAAAAGAATACTCTGGAAAATGTTTCCAGCCTTCACTTAGCATCCACCTGGAATATTTTTCAGATTTTAGTATTTTATATTTTATTTGAAAATATTTCATAGCTTTTTGTTTTTGTTTTTTTTTTTCAAACATCAAGGAATTTCCGTTCCTGTTAATGATTTCAGTCTTCCTAGTTGTATATTTAGTGCTTGTTTGAAATTCGTAGAGGTTACGTTAACAGTTAATTGCTGTTTCAGGATAGTTCAATCATGTTTACAGCATCATCAAGCAATATTTGTGTAAATAACCCAACAAACATAATGAATTACACCTTTATCTATTACTTAATCTGCGGTAAAGTGAATACTTTGGCAAAATACAGTCCTACCTCTCCAGTGGCTCAGCGGTAAATCTGAAGGCTTCTAACACTAAAAACGGGTTTCGATACCCGTGGTGGGCACAACATAGATAGCCCATTGTGTAGATTCATGCTTAACAGGCAACAAACATATAGACAGACATAATATATTATCATCACGTAGATATAGTATAGCAAGTCCACAATTTTTTTGGGGGGAGTGCTATTTAGCTTCACCTTTCTGATAGAAAACAATGTCCTCTCACCAGATTTTAAAATAAGTTTCAGGAGTGAGTTTTATTTTAGCTAGAATCAAGTTAGAATAACGCTTTGTTTGTTTGTAATTAATCAATAAGCTACACAATGGGCTATCTGCGCCCTGCCCACCACGGGTATCGAAACCCTGATTCTAGCGTTGTAAGTCCACAGACATACCGCTGTGCCACTGGGGGGGGGGGCTAGAATAACGACCAGGAAGATTTTTACAAGCCGATCGATTATGTAGTCAATGTCATTGTCGAATACCTATTGGCAATTTCTTGTTTAATGATGTGTAATGTCAATGAAGTCAAACGATTCTGACCCATACAAATACGTATGTATGACTTGAATCTTCTTAGCTAGTGTCACCTGGTGGAACAGCGGTAAATCTACGGACCTTTAACACCAAAATTTGGAGTTCGATTCCATGTTCCATGCGGTGGATGCAGCAGCTAGCTCAATGTGGCTTTGCTATAAACAAGAAAGAATCCCCAATAGCCACGGCAGTTGAAATTCTTTTAGGCAGGATTTGAGTAAATTAATCTATGAGACCTTTTTTTTTCCTTTTTATTAGCAATATTTTTGTGCGCCAGCAATATCAAGCGTGGAGCGCACGTATACCTGATTAAATTTTATTACTCATTAGGATCTCTACTAGCCTACCCGCAAATTGAAATTATTTTAGGCAGGACTAGAGTAAATTAATCTATGAGACCTTGGGCGTGGTCAAATATATCAAAGTATAGGGATTGGCCTACTGAGTCCAAAACTGTAATTATATCTCAAATCGGTCAAGAGATGACGGAGCTATGAGCTAAAGGTTTGTACTTGAAAAACCAACAAAACCAACTCAGAGTCGTTCTATGAGCAGCAAGCTAAATGAACTCTACCAAGCATGATGTCGCAAATATGATTGCCAGAATAGTAGCCAATCTTAAAGACACGTAGTACGGTTTTGTCTGTTGTTAAGCACAAAGCAAAATAATAAATTATCTGTGCTCCGTCCAGCGCGGGTATTGAAACCTGATTTTTAACATGATAAGCCCTAAGACCTACCGATTAACCACCGAGACCAAGTGAAACGGAATCTAAGACACAAGTTGAACAACAGATTATGTCACATTATGAATGGATTTGGAGTTCAGTTCTACTTTTGTCCTAACTTTCTATTTGTACAAAACTTTGCATATCATTCTATGTATTCAATTTCTATCAGAGAAATAACTTGGAATTTATAAAATCACAAATTTTACAGAAATTTACTAGTATTTGTTCATAGAAAGTATATTTCTTTTTTTAATTCCATTGAATTACATAAGAAAACATCAAAGTAAAGGAGTGTACTGGATGAAAGGCAGTTCCTTTACTGCAGATCTGAAAATATATCAAAATTTGTTAAACTAAAATTTGTCGAAATTTGTTACTTGAGCACATGATTTGTTAGAGTGAGAACTAAGTCTTTTACTTTTACTGTTACGTAGACTGCTACTTGTTTCAGACTAAAAAAGCATAGCATTATATATGGGATTCTATAATGCTATCCTTCTCGTTGAGAATGTACTTTCTATGTAACTGATGGTCTTTCTAATAGAAAAATAAGTAGGTATAACCTGACCCACAAATTGAAAATATCACTTCCGGCCTTTACATAGTGCACTTTTACAGCAGTGACTTTAAATTTATCCTAGGGGTTGTGAGAAGATTCACACACAAAAAAAATATGGCACACTTCTTTCCCAGCATGTATAAAGTAAAGCAAATCTTACTACTGAAATCTACTGACGTGTCAACTGTTCGAGATGGCACTATGCATCCAACTGATGCATATTAGCTCGCATGTTGTTGGATGGAATTCTCCTCCCTCTGGTATTGTAAGTCATTTATCAATCCTCGGATGGAAGTGCTCTACTCCAATTAATGGCACACCCTTCTCACTAGTAGGTAAACTGTATTTCACATAAAATTATATTACTTTATACTTACATGTCTGTTTATTTGAACATGTGGTGCACTACAGTTTTTGACATTTAGAGATAATAGCATTTGGATCCTTTTTAGCTGCATACGTGTGTGTCTGTAGGGATGGGGTATGAATTACCTTACACAAGGGGAAAGGGTGCCGTCTGAAAATTGTTAGAACCGCTTTACAAAAATCTATCCATGGAGAAATCACACATGATACCATAGATAGAAACATGTCTGTGTTAAAATTCTTGGTGAATTTGGAATGCTTACCTTAACTAAAGCAGGTAAGAAGTATCAGGTATGTATCTTCCATTTACCTTCAGGCCTTCCTGACTGTCCCTAACATTAAAATTTAAAATCCAAAAGGCAATGAAATTAAAGTATTGGTCAAGAAATTAGTAATACTTACTCTCGCTCCTGTAAAATACATACGTATCACTTCACATACAGAAGACAGAAAGTTTTCATAAAAGATACAATTTGAGTTATATAGCACTGGTAAATATTACTAAACATTTTGATTGATATAGTACTGGTAAATATTACAAAACATTTTGATTGATATAGTACTGGTA